AACACCTTACTGTGGCATTTGGCAACAAATTTGTAATCAAAGCTTCTTGAGCTGAAGACTTTTATATATAGTAATAAAGTATAATAGCAAAGCTATTGAAACAGATTATTAAATTGAAATTAAAAGGCTCTAGTGTGATAAATTGAAGTTAAAAGGCTCCAATGTAATTAATGTCTATCTCCCTGCACATACTGAGCTCCTTTGAGCAAAGAGACTTTGGGTTAGTGCTACACCCCCCAGCCCCTCACAGTGGCATTTGCTAAGAGCTCAATGAATGTACTGAATCAATTAATGAAAGCACTTCCATTTCGAAAATGAAAATAAAGTCATAAAGAATTGGAAAGGAGCAAGTCATTAAATCCAACCTCCTATTCAAGATAGAATTTCCTCCTTTCAATATACGGCAGTTTTTTGGTTTTTTGTTTTGTTTTGGTTTTTTTTGAGAGATTTTCACTGTAGGGCGCGTGCACTCGCCAGACAGACAGAGAGAGACATAGAGACAGAAAGCGAGAAATCACCCCCCAGGGGGGATGGTCACGCCGCAATCCCTTCTCCTCCATTCTCCTCTCGGGATCTTGGGCACGCACGCACACGCGCCCGGCGTGAGTTTTAAGCCACCGGGTCCGGGACACGAACCGCAGTCGACTACGTGGGAGTCCAGCAACATAGCCATTACGCTAACTGCTGGTTCCAATATACTGCAGTTTTTGACAACTTTTGGGGACAAGGAACTCATGAAACTTATGAGACAGTCCATTCCAATTGTGGAATAATTCCAAACTCCTTGCCTCCATTCGTCCCTCCCACTCAAGCCCAGGTGAAGGTAGTGATCTCCGAAGTGGGGTGTACATATTCAAGAACACATCGGATAATTCACAGAAAGGTGAGAAGAAAATCAGACCTTCTATTTTTTAATTTTTTTTATTGTTATCATTTTTAAATTTGCTATAGGGCACATGAGCTTGACAGAGAAAGAGAGAGAGAGAGAGAGAAAGTGAGGAAGCCAGTTCTAGGATTCAAACTGCAGTCAGCCATGTGGGAGGCCAGCATCTTAACCACCATGCCACCTGCTGGCCCCAGACCTTCCACATTAAAATTTTTAATTCTATAGTAAAAGGTTGCACTGGTACTTAGTATACAAATGGGAATCGGTGCTCTCATTCGAGCTATGCATCAGAATTGTACAAAGAGAAGTCAACTAGTTCCGAAACGGAGCAGAATTAAGAGAAGAGCCCTCAGCTGAACGTTCCATTGCAGCACCGTACTTCAGCATACATCCTACAGAACACTGTAACGCAGCCGCAAACGGTAGAAACCTATGTGAAGGTAGCAAGTGACGTAACTTTCTGGCTTCCGGGTTTTTCTTATGGCAAAGGGTTTAGGAGTTGAATCAAAAAGATAAGCAGCTTCCTTTCACAGAGAGAAGAATTCTAAATATACTGACCACTACATGTTGATAAATGGCTATCAACAGTATATGCTATCAAGCAGATACTTTCCAAAAACACACACTTCATCTGGCTTTTCAAAGTAAAGATAACACTTCAATAATGAGTAAGAAGGGAACTGCTTTTCAAAAGATATTTGCACTGGGAGGATAACACTTTGAAAACTGTATTTGGAACTGTTTCCACTGGTCCATGATTCTGTTGCTAAAAACATGTCTATTTAAAAAGTTTGTTTTTCCTATGTCATTATCCACACACGGAAAGACTATCCCAACCAAGTCTTCTGTACTAAAGCTTGAAAAAAAAAATGCATGTTAAATCTAGTTTTTTATGTATAGTGTATAAAGATGTGATGCCTTTCAAATAATTAGAAGAATGACCAAGTTCAGGAAAGATGGGATTATCACTGCCAATCCTTTTGGTAGAGGTTTTTGCTGTAGGGCTCATGCGCTCGCCAGACAGAGAGACAGAGAGACAGAAAGCGAGAAATCACCCCACTAGGGGATGGCCACGCAGCAATCCGTTCTCCTCCATTCTCCTCTTGGGATCTTGGGCACGCACGCACACATGCCCGGCGTGAGTTTTAAGCCACGGGGTCCGGGACGTGAACCGCGGTCGACTACGTGGGAGTCCAGCGACATAGCCATTACGCTAACTGCTGGTCCCATCACTGCCAATTTTAACAAAATTATTTGTATAATTGATAGGTTAAGAATTAAAACATCAATAATACAGACAATGATATACTTCTTACATTAGGTCTTATGAGTCCTTGTAGGTAGCTTTTTTCAGTCATAAATCAAGTCATTAAAATCAAGAGTTGGGGCCAGCAGGTGATGATGGTAAAGGTGCTGGATCCTACATGGCTAACTCCAAAGTTCAAGTCCCAGACCCAGTGGCCTGAAAAACATGTTGGGCACACATGCCCAAAATCCTGCAAGGAGAAAGGAAGAGAAGGGATTGTGGCATGGAGATCCCACTTGGGTGGCGATTTCTCACCTTCCCTCTCTGTCTCTCTCTGGTGAGCACATACACCTTGTGGGGAAAAAAAAAAAACACTAAAATTAAGTGTGAAAAGTAACTTATTTTACAGAATGAAATGTTCCCAGTTCTAGAACCACAAATAAAGCCACGTAAGATTTTTACAAATAAATAAATCAGCAAATGACAAATGTTTATTGGATGCTTTGACATTATCATTTTAGGTGACCCTCACTTTTCAAGAGAACAAAGCAATAATCAAATCTAGTCATAATTTTGACAACAACCCTGAAGTCTAACTATAAAATTCATATTATCTCACCTCTGATTTCCCTTGAGGACTGAATACAATCATGCAAATCAAAATGCGGGACATTGGTAGATGCTCAACAAACAGCAACTGCCTTGCTCTTGGTCTGAAGTCATGTGATACAATGAAGAAAGTGTGAGCTTGGGAATTAGGTTTGCATTCTCGCTGTACCACCTGCTCTCTGAGTAACTTTGGACAAGTTATTTGACTGTACCTGTAAAATGGAATACCTACCTTACAGGATTAAAGGGAAGTCATTCAAGAATAACACATATTAAGTCACTGCACCCACAAAAGACAATTAATAAATATCTAACCCTCCTTCGTCAACGTGTGTGCATGTGAGCCCAAGATCCCGGGAGGAGAAAGGAGAAGAGATTACTGCATGGCCATCCCTCCTGAGGGGTGACTTCTCACTTTCTGTCTCTCTGTCTGTCTGTCTGTCCCACGAGCATACATGTCCTATACCAAAAACAACAACAACAACAAAAAAAAAAACCTAAAAAAAGTCTATTCATAACTACATATGTGGGGAACCAGCAGTTAGCGTAATGGCTATGTCGCTGGACTCCCACGTAGTCGACCACAGTTCACGCCCCGGACCCGGTGGCTTAAAACTCACGCCAGGTGCGTGTGCATGCGTGCCCAAGATCCCGAGAGGAGAATGGAGGAGAAGGGATTGTGGCGTGACCATCCCCCCTGGGGGGTGATTTCTCGCTTTCTGTCTCTCTCTCTCTC